CCCTGCACCCTGACTGGCTCTCCTGCCCGCGTCCCTTCTGTAAGGGGGTGCCCAGTTGCCAGGCTCCTTCATTCGGCTCTGTTCACACACACCAGTGCCTCAGATTCTACACTCTCCCATTGGGGTCAGGACCCCTCTTTTTCAGGCACGATTTAATCCATGACACCCCCCTCTCTGATTGCATGCATAAGTGGGAGATGATAGTGATGTCGGGGTGAGCACGGGGAATGGTTGGCACCCAGTGGATGGCTCCAGAGGCGCTTGAATTGGAGGTAGCTGTGGGGGTCCCAGTGGATTAGTGGTTACTCATGGGCCGGCTAACTGCAAGGTTAGCTAGAAACCAGCAGGCCCTCTGTGGGAGTCAGACGGGGTGGGGTGCCTTACTACTCCCATAAAGAGGGACCATCTCAGAACCTCACTAGGGGCAGTTCTACCCTGTCTTATAGGGTCGCTGTGAGTCAGCATCGACTGGACGGCAGTGGGTTGGGGTGGGGGTTTTGAGTGGGAGACAGTGAGGCGCCCTGTGGTTGCAGTGGCCAAAGGGGTCAAGGTCTGCGGCTCCAAACTGCCAGCTGCTCCGTGGGGTGTGGCGTGGGGGTGGGGGGCGGGGGAGATGGGGCCCTCGGCTTCCAGGATTTGCAACCTCGGAAGCTCTATGGGACCAGGCTGCTAATGAGTGTGACAGTCCTGGTTGGGCATGTGTGCGCATGCAAGAATCGGCGTTGAGTGTGAGAAGAGACACAGCAAGCCAGAGGAGCTGGCCAGGTGCTGAGGGCCCCTCCAGACCCATGAGGTCAGGGAGGAGTGACCAGGGAGTTGGGCCAAACTGAACCCACACCATCCTGCTGCGCAACAGCCCAGAGCAAGCCTTCTTCTGGGGTAGCGCAGACAGAGCCCCCGCTGCCCCTCGGAGCCAACGATTCTGCAGAGAAGCAAACTTTGGATACCACCCAAACGCCAGCCCGTTCCCCTGACCGAGGCTCAGTTTAATGGTTCCTGGCTGGAACCCCTTCCCCCATCCTACCCGCCCCAGCTGAAGCTCTGCTCAGGGCCGGTTGCAGTGCAAAGGCCTTCTTGACCTGCGTCCAAGACTGACTTCCAGCCTGAGCAATGCACTCCACGAGCCCGAGACCCGGGCAAGAGGGTCTCTGGGCAATGCACTCCATGGACATCCCTCCACCGATCATTCGAGTCTTTATTCAACCACTTTGGGGGCATGCCTTTATAATCAGTGCAGGAGGGGGTGACTGCCCTTCTTCCAATCCGTCTCCCCATATCCCAACCCCCACGAATAATAAAACACTTGAAGAATGATTTATACAGTCTGACAAGGAGTACCTACTGTGTGCAGGGTGCCGGATTCCAGGTACCTACTGTGTGTTGAGTGTTAAACATTGAGTACTTACCGTATATTGAGTGCCAGAGACTGGGCACCTACTGTGCTGTGTGTCAGACCCCTGGACACCTCGTGTGTTCTTCATGCCAGATTCCAAGCACCTACTGCACACGGTGTCAAATCCTGAGCCCCTACTGTGTGCTCTGTGCCAGACCCACAGCACCTATTTTTTCCCCAGGGTACCTATTATGTGCTGGATGTCAAATCCTGAGCATCTAGTATCTGCTGCAAAACAAACAATTACTTGACCCCGGCACAAGGTGGGCTCACCTTGTGTGTCAGAGAAGAACTAAATTCCATAGGGTGATGCCATTTCGATGGCTGATTTTTGGAAGTAGATCCCCAGACCTTTCTGACCACTCCCCTCTGGTGCACTCCAGTCTCTAAACTTCCGATGAATAGCTGAAGGCATTAGGCCTTTACACCATGCAGGGGTTCTGTATGGAGACCAAGCTGTATCCTTTATATGAATATTTTATTCCCAGCTCTCCTCTCATCTCATCCCAGATGAAAGAGCCCTTCCTTATCTGTGGCAGACACCAGGTTAGGTAATCAGATCCTGTTGCACTTCCTCTTGGCACACAGAGAACTCCTTTTTGCGGGGTGTCCTTGGGGTGACCAGAGCATGAGGCTGTGAGCTGGCTGGTTGAATGTGGGCAGAAAGGAGGAGCCTGACTCTCAGCTGGTCCCTAAAAGCGGGATCTTTCACTCTATTGTCTTGGCTTTTTCCTCCCGCTGGGCTGCTGGATACAAAGGGGTCAGAGGTTTTTGAAGTCCTTGGGAGGGAGCCTCCATCCCTGAATCACTCTGTGGAGGCACCAAACTAATTAGCATTGGATTGTGGAGCAAATGAGACCGGGCCTTTCTGGTGTTAAGCTACTAAGATGCTGGGGGGTGTTGGTTACAACATGCCTTGGAATTGACTTCAGTGGGCTTAGATTTAGGTTTTGGGTTTTAAAACAAGGTCTCTGAGTGATGCCAAAGGCTTGTATGCCACTGCTAGCTGAAGGAGCCCTGGTGGCATCGTGGGTATCAGTTGAGCCACTCACCGCAAGGTGAGAAGTTTGAAACCAGCTGCTCTGTGGGAAAAGATGAAGCTTTCTACTCCAAAAGAGTTACAGTCTCAGAAGCCTATAGGGGCAGTTTTGCCCTGTGCTATAGGGTTGCTATACATCAGAATCGACTGGATGAGAGTGGTTGTGAGGTTTTGTTGTTACTAGCCTACAGGGTCCCTGACGGTGTACGGGTTTTGCATTGGCTGCTGACTGTAAAGTAATTAGCTCAAAGCCACTAGGGGCTATACTGCAGAAAGAGGAGGCTTTCTATCCCTATCAAGGTTTACAGTCTCAGAATTTACAGAGCAATTCTATCCTGTCCTATAGGGTCGCTATGACTCAGAATTGACTGGACTGCATTGAGGGGGTTAGTGGTTCAAACCCACCCAGTGGCACCGCTGAAGAAAGGCCCGGCAATCCGCTCCAGTAAAGATGTCCCCTGAGAACCCCCTGAGGAAGCCTAGGGATTTAATAGAAAGAAAGCCTCCCCTGCCTACACCGAATGTGTCTGACTTCAGACACCCTGGAGAAAGCCCACCGGCAGCCTGGGAGAACCCCGGCTCCTTTGGTTCTCTGTTGCCCCCCACCCTCCCCAGGTTGCCCCTTCCTGCAGCCTGTGGGCAAAACAAGCAAACACGCTCACTGCCATTGAGTGGATGCCAACTCATCCCAACCCTGTAGAACAGGGTGGACCTGCCCCTGGGGGTTCCCAGACTGCCCCTCTTTCTCCCACAGAGCGGTTAGTGGTTTTGAAACGCTGACCCTGCAGTCAACAGCCCAACTCGTAACCACAACGCCACCAGAGCCCTCCCTCGCAGTCCATGGAAGCTCTTCAAAGGGGCAAAAATAGAAACCAAACCAGTTCTGCCTCATGAGGACTGCGGGTGTGTCAGGGTGGGACTGTCCCCACGGGACGTTTGGCGGCTGATTCTTCAGCAGTAGATTTCCAGGCCTATTTTCTGGGATGCCTGAGTAGACTCGAACCATCCACCTTGTTGTTAGCAGACAAGCACTGGCATTGGCCTTCCTTCCACCAGGGTCTTCTCCTGCAAGTCAGAGTTGGTACTGGGAAAGGGCTGAGCAGGGTTCTGGGACAGGGGAGGCTGTTAGGGGGGAAAGAAGTAGGAGGCTTCCGGCTCCTACTGCCCCATTGGCCACCGGCTTCCTCTGTACCCTGAAGTAAGGAGATGCTCTCCCTCCTGTCCTGTGGAGCCGGGAGTCCCACCCAGGCCATCTCCAAGCCCCCTCCCTGGAGTCCACATTCTCTGAGCGGCGTGGAGTCCTTGGGAGGAGCAGGGTGTACCTTCCCTGGCCCTAGCAGAGGAAGTGGGGGTGAGAGGGACCTGCTGCAAGGGGTGGGTGCTGCAAGGAACCTACCCTGAAGCTGAAACTGGTCCTGGACCCCTCGGGCCTGTAGGCCCAGTCTGTGAGCCCCAGGGGGGGCACCTCATTAGCAACATGATGTCCCAATGAGACCTCCAGGCAAGTCCTGCAATTGCACCACCATCTGTGCAGTTACTCAATGGGGAACCCGGTGTCCTATGGGCCTGCTTTGCCCCCCAAACTCTGGTGGATGGGGCACAGCCTTGGTGTGCAGTCTGGGGAGAAGTCCTGTAGATGTGGCTCCTTGTCACCTTGCATCCCCTATTCTCCACCCCGGCTTGCCCCTCCAGGCAGACCACCTCCCAGTCAGATCCCCACCCCCCCCCACCTCCACCCCTGCCCCTAGCCCTAGACGTGGGCTTCAAGGAGCCTGAGCTGTCCCCTGTCCCCAGAGCCGGAGCCTGTGGGCTTGGCTGTGGCCCTGCCATGTGACACGCTCTATGGCTATGCCGTGGAGAATGCAGTTTCCCATGTATCCTTGCACCGATAAAATGAAATAGGATCAAAGATGCGATCTTTTTAAACATATTAATTCAAATAGAACCAGACCAGTGGCTTGCCTCTGGGAGGTGGGGCCGGGATTGTGTAGGGAGGGACTATGGGAACTTTGTGTATTGAAGGTCATGTTCTTCTGTATAGTTTTGATTTACGCTGAGGACTCCAAACCAAGCTCTGCGAACGAGTCGAAGCTGACTCAGAGAGACCTGACAGAGCAGGAGAGAACTGTCCCTACGCAGTTCTGAGACGGTGACTCTTTACAGGAGTAGAAAGCCCCATCTTTCTCCGAAGCAGCAGTGGGCAGTTTTGAACCACTGACCTTGAGGCTGGTAGCCCTTTACAGAAAAACAGTTCATCATTGACCCCTGACAATTAAAAACTTTTGTACAATAGCCCATAATCTGTGAGGGAAGCCAGCCCCCTGAGACTAATCATCGGTTCGGTAAACACAATTATATGGTATAATAATATTATATATTATATATATATAATATATAATATATATATTATAGTAAACTCATAGAGAATAAGAGAGATAGAAGAGAAAGTAAAGTAAAGTAAAGTAATGGAGTCAGACACATTTCATGGTAGCATGCTCACCTCCTGAATGGCCGTGATCTCAGCAGCCAAGTCCGCAGCCAAACATGGGCAGAGAGAGAGAGTGATTTATTTCTAACCAAGGCTTATATACCTTTGGGGGCGTGCAAGCCCCCTAATTACAGGTAAAGACATACATCACAGGAAAGGGATGTACAATAGGCATAAGCATAACAGGAAGGGGATGAACTAGGGTTATACACATAATAGGAAGGGGAGGGATTAGGGGTATACATGTGACAAGATGGACCAACCCTAGATTCATGATGGCGGCCTAACCTTGGTCACCCTTGAATGGGCTTGACCTCCCTGGGCTATCCTTCAGGGAAACCATCTACTACTATCCTTATCAGAAGGGAGTGGGCCCTATTTAGGGTGGGACAGACTATACAGTCCGATTGCTCTGGATCAGGGGTGTCAAACCGGCAGCCCGAGGGCAGCATGCGGCCCCCGAGGTAATTTTTTGTGGCCTATAATGCTCTCAAATAAAACGAAAATAGAAAAAATTGTTATGAAGAAAATAGCTCTTAGCCTAAGGTTAAGCTTTTTTTCATAACAGTTTTTTCTATTTTAATTTTATTTCAGAGCATCATGGGCCACAAAAAATTACCTCGGGGGCCGCATGCGGGCCGAGGGCCGCCAGTTTGATACCCCTGCTCTAGATGACTGATAACCCTTAGGGAGAATAACCTCTGACCTACTTTCGTTGACCTCCAAGTGCACAGTCGTTTGCCATGTGTAGCAAGCAGCTAGATTTGGCATGTATTTTGGGGAGACAACTTGTGAGAAATCATTCTATATGCCACAATTCCCCCTTCTGTTTTACGTATTAAATTCAATAGAGCCACAGGGGCGACATGGTTATTTTCTGTACATTGAAAGCTGTCAAGGCAAATTTAAAGACAATAGTAACGTAGCCAGCCTAATGGCAAGCACTGTGAATCACAGGCTTGAAGCCTAAAGTCCCCCTACGCCTACCTGCTATTGGGGGAAGGTATGCGAGGGGTTGGGTGCCTCTGGGGGGCGGGAAGAGAGAGCCAGTAGGAATGTCTGCTGCTCTAGGGAGCTAGAAGCCACCGTGTGCTCGCTTTAAGGCAGCGCGGCTTTAAGGGGAGTCTGTGGAAAAGACAGCACGGGCAAGTGGACTTGGACTCGAGGGCTGACTTTCCAAAGTGGTGGCTTTCCGACCGTGGAATCCTACCTTTCCAGATGCCCCCTGTGCTAGTCAGGGAATAAGTCCCCATCGTATTTCCCTCAGAGTTGGTGTCCCACAATATCCAGGCTAAAGTGTGAGACGTGTCCACTTTGGCAGCACACAGGGATTGCCCTGGCATGCCCCCCTCCCACCGTATTACCCCCGTTAGGAAACACTGGATTACACCCCTCCCCACCCCAGCCCCCAGAGCCGTTTCTGGTTAGTAGACGCCTCCTGCTGGAGACCCCAGCTGCGTGAGCATAGAGGCGTGCCCCACAGGGCATTCCAGAACAGATTGTGCAGAACTAGGCTGCCAGGACCTTCTTCTGAGGAACCCCTGGGTAAACTCCAAATGCCAGACTTTGGGCTAGCAGCCAAACTCGGCAAAAGTCTTCTTAGGGCTGCATTGTATTGGATGCACACTTTATGCCCATGCAAACCCCATGGGATACAAACCAAAAGGGGGGGGGAATGTAAAGAGATATGGAACTCTAGTTAATGTGGTGCATGCCAAGGGGACTGAGCGGGCTGTGATATATGACTGAGCTTGACTTTGAAACACACAAAAGGAGTAAAGATTGAGAGGCGGGTCCCCTGCTGCAGAGTGCAGAGGGTCAAAAGGCCAGCCTCCTGCTTAGCAGCAGAGCGCTTAACCACGGCGCCACCAGGCCTCCTGAGAGAGAAATGGATGGGCGGGCCGATGTGTGACAAAATGATTTCACATAAAATGCCCGTGGGGGTATCCGGTGTTGATTGCGAAGCTCATCCAACTTGGCTGAATGCAGGAGAATTTCCCCTGAGGAACGCTGCCTGCCGGCCCCCGGTTCGTCTGGTCAGTGTTCCCACCCCGGGGCCTGTGGCCTCCCCAGGACAGTGACACGCTGCACGTGCTTCTTGGAAGGCAGACTTGCTTGCTCTGCTGGCAGCCGTGGTGGGTTCAAGGGTCTTCGCCAATATCATACTTCACCCGCATCAATTCTTCCTGATTGCCTGTCCAGCTTTCACATGCATAGACGGCTATTGGGGAGGTGGGGCTCTCCCCCCAAAAAACCCCAAAACCCCATGGCTTGGGTCAGTCACTTCAAGATGTCCTCAAAGTGACATCTTGCTCTTTAACACTTTAAAGAGTGTCCCCCCCATCCGCCCAGCAGACTCACCCACTGCAGTACGTCCTGTGATTTGTGGCCACTGTTCCCAAGAGTGTTGGCTGTGGGTTAGGTGAAAAGAACCCTTGGACAACGCCGGTCCTTTCGCGATTCATCACGATGACGCCTACCGGTCCAGGGGAGAGGATTTGTACCTTCTGGATGCTGAGGTGTAATCACACCGAAGGCCTTGACCTTCATGGTGAGTGCCGCAAGCCCTCTTCGAGTACAGCAAGCACGGTGGTGTCGTGTGTGAGTTGCAGGTTGTGTGTGGATGAGCTCGGCCTCCACTTCTCAGGTGGTTTGCTTCTTCCTCCCGTCCAAGTTCTCGCAGTCTTTGCGCAGCACACAGATCGAATAAGGGTCAAGAAAGGAGACAGCTCTGACACACATGCATCCTGAATTCAAACCGCTCAGTCTCCTCGAGTTTGTTCAACAGACTCCCTCTTGGTCTTGGTCATAGAAGCCCCCCCCCCTTTATTTAAATCTAGGAATATGGCTGTGTCGAAGTGAAGAGTCGGCTCCTAGTGTCCCTTGCAGTGTTGTCAGATGCTGTGAGTTGGCTCCGGCTCCCGGTGACCCTGTAGGCAACAGAAGGAGACACCCCCGGTCCTGGGCCGTCCTCACCATCCTTGTTCCGGTGAACCCACTGTGGCAGCCGCTGGGTCAGTCTACCCCGTCAAGGGTCTTCCTCTTTCTTGCTCACCTTGGACTTGATCAAGCATGTGGCTCTTTCCCAGGGACTGCTCTCTCCTGAGACGGTGTCCAACGGACATGAGCTACAGTCTTGGCTTCCTTGAGCGTAAGGAACATTCTGGCTGTACTTCTAAGACAGACCCGTCTGTTCTTTGGACTGCCCACGGTACTTTTCAGTGCTCCTCCCCAGCGCGGTCATTCATTCGAGCGCCTCCATTCTCCCGTGGTCTCCCTCCTCACTGTCCCTCTTCACGGGCCAGTGAGGTGCCGCCAACCTCCAGGGCTCGGTCCGGGGCACCAGCGCCCTCGAAGGGACGGTTTTGATCTCCAACACCTTCGAGAGGTCTCATGCAGCAGATTGATTCATGCAATCTCTCAGTGAGATTTCTTGACTGCTGCTTCGGGGATCATGGCGTATGGATCGAAGCAAGATTAAGTCCCTGACAACTTTAATCTTTTCTTCATTTATCAGGATGTCACCTACTGGTTCAGGTGTGAGGAAGACACACTCTGTAAAAGTAAAGCTGAGAGATTGACTGAAAGTCCAGAGATGGTCCAGACCGGGAAGGCATCCAAATTCACAGAGTGTGATAGGTAGATTTATTATGACAACCTGTACAATAAGAACATGTGGGATTAATAAGGTTGCAGTTTGATTGAAGAGCAAAGAGATAGAGGGCTTGGTGAGACTCACCTTTCTGCCTCTTGCTCTCTGGTGATCAGACCAATGTGTGGCTGCCTTAGCTAGTTCCCTGCCTCAACTTGTGAGCTACGCTACCTGTGGGACACCCAACCCATGGATCATGTTGCTATAGCTTGAAGTTCCTTCAAGACCAGCTTCGCCACACTGCTGGCATATACATTGCTTGAGTTGGGGACTGTCGGATCCTGTCATCTGGCTCACTGTTGGTGACCCGCCCTGCTGTTTGCTGCCTGTGGCCGGACTGCCTGCATTGCTCTATAGAAGATTCAGCTGTCTGCCTCCTTGACCTTGGACCCAGCAGCCCGTGTGAGTTGAAGGACTGCCAGTATATTAACTGTTTCACAGAAGTAAGTTGAACTGAGCCTTCTGTATTGCTGCGTGGACTAATTAGCTCTTATATTCCTTCGTGCTCTTTCTATCTAGAATCACAAATGTCCTGGTTTTGTTTTTCTAGAGAACTCTGTCTAGCACACAGAGTGAAGATGACCACTCCATCAGTCAATGAAGAAGCTAGCATTCTTACATCATCATAGCAGGAACTAAAGTTACAAATCACAATAGACTGAAAGACATTCAGGGGACTTAGAGTTGGCTTGTCTAAGAGTGGGGATTTAGTAGGGGCTGATGGGTAACGTACTTGTATGTGGGACGAACAAACCCCAAACCCACTACCACCGAGCTAATTCTGACAAATATTTGAAGTGTTAGGTAGTGAGCGTGCTGCTACTAGGAGTATTCACAGCGACCCTAGGACCTTTCAGGAGCAGACAGCCTCATCTTTCTCCTAAGGAGCGGCCGGGGGATAGGAACCACTGACCACGTGGTTAGCAGCACACCACCCCATCCGCAGCACCCTCAGGGCTCCCATGTGGGATTTTGGGGTTGGTTCAGGTGTGCCCTGGTATGTGCTCTTCGGCTTATTACTGGGTGGTCGCAGGTCAATGGCAGGGTGGACTGTTCTGGGAACTGCTCTGAAACCTGCTTCTGGGCTTCATTGCAAGGCTGGGTCTATGATGCTGTGCACCAAGATAGCTGCTTCGGGCCCATGCTGTTGCATCTTGCATCTCTTTGAGCTGAGAGGAAAGTCCCTCTGGGGACCTCACAGAAAAAGGACGTCTCCTTTCGGGTAGATGGTCAGGGCAGCACCAAGGTTAGAGGAACTGCTTCAAACCCAACATGGCTTTCTGATTTGTGCGAAGCCTTTCGGATGGAGTTCAGGCTCAGCTCACACACGGCTCTGTCCACACACTCCAGGGCCTCTGGTTTGACGTTCGCAGACAGACCTGTGCCCTATAGGTCCTGGGCCCCATCCCCCTGGACCTCCACGTGAAAGGGGAAGGAAGGCGCCATTGGTTAAGCCCCATGTTAGGGGTTTTCCATCACCCACAACCTCCCTTCCCTTCACAGGCTAATTTCCATGTGTTTGCACCCGTGGGGCCTGTGGTTGGAATGTCTTGGCCTCACGCTGCCCCCTAGTGAATGCCTGTGAGCTCTTCACTCCCACAATGGCAAAGGTCTTGGAAAGTTATGCCTCTCCCCCTGGCTCCCCACAGCAGCGAGCGGCCGGAGTCAAGTGTGCAATCCAGGTCTGCCTGATGCCAAATGCCTTTCATCCCAAGCAGGACTGCCCCTGGGACTCCCGGGGTCTCCCCAGGGACCACCGCAAGGTGTGACACATATGAGGTGGGCTTCCGTGTTGGTGGAACGGAACCGTTGACTATAGGTCCCCAACTCTTGGCTCCAGCCTCAGCTCCCCGAGCAGCCCTCCTGGTCCCTTCAGATTTTATATGCACCACGAGGGGGCTAACCACAAGGTCAGTGGTTCTAACCCCCCCCAGCCGCTCTGAGTAAG